CCTTGGCTCGATGGTAGACATGTCGTCTTTGGCAAGATTATCAAAGGAATGGTAAGAACACAGTCTACTTGTCATTATTGCGATAATTTACTGAGAATACACTTTTTTATTTTACTCCATTAATTAAGTACATAAGGCTTGTTCTTTTCATTAATTTTTTTTATTTTTCCTCTTTTCACTTTGGAAATAAAAAGAATAAAGAGGAACAATGCAAAATGTTCAACAAAAAAACAAAAGAGCAGACTTATAATTTCAATATTCTGTTGCAGGATATAGTGCGCAAGATTGAGCAAACGAGTACCGACTCACGAGATAAGCCACGCAAGGACGTGGTCATCGCCGACAGCGGCGCGGAGACTGTGACAGAACCATTTAGTGTATCTAAGGATGACGCCACTGAGTAAATCTCAGCATTCGCCAACAGCCTCATTATTCTTTATTCCTTTATTTCTTATACAAAACGATCTCTTGGAAACTGCCATGGTTTTTGACAGCCTTGTTGGTTTTTCTAAATGGATTAGTGGCACTAATGATAATCTATGTCATGGTAACTGTTTAACAGTGTTCTAATGACAGGATTAACGGGGAGAACAACTCAGCAGCGATATCAACGAAAAGCGTTTTGTAAGGTCATAAAGTATTAAAGCAACAATCAATAAGTAATAGAACAATTATTTCTATTCTAATTGTTAAAAACTATGTATAACTCGCATTGCACGATACATTTTGTACGCAAACAGATTTTCTACATTCACAAATAAATGTAAGTTGTTTAAAGTATCGTCGTATGTGACTTTATTTCTCGTACATAAGAAAACTGAATCACATACCTTATCGAATTGATTGATAAGATAAATGACCAGATATGTCCCAGTTTCCAATTATATATTAAATAATATAATTATATACATATAAATCTCAAAATTAATATTCTTAAAAAATTATTAATGTAATATCAATGATCACAAAAATATCAAAATTATCAATTCTTACAAAATCATGGATATTTATAAATTTTTTAAAAGATATTTACAAAATATTTTAAATAAAAAATATATTCAAAATGGCGGTTCAATGACCGGATCCATGCAATATTGACATACAAAACTCCCTGCCTTGCATTCTTGTAGCAATTGGCAATTCTGAATTGATGTTTTTCCCACGAGGAACTTGTAGCTTGTAGCTTCTCTTCTGAATTTTATATTGGAAAATCAATGAAAAATGTTGTTGAGACAACAATTATGTCTTACCTTCGCGCATAAATGGACTCGAAAGCGAAACAACAATGCTTTGCGGCGTTTTCTCTCAATCAAGAATCAAAAAGATGTAAAAGTACGGTGAGCAATTAGATTAGGTTAGGTTATAATGTTTGTGAATGTAAACAATTTTTGTTATGTCGCTCCCGAGACGTATAGCAGTTGTACATTTACTTCATTAAATATTCATGTTTCAGAGAATCATAATTAAGTCATTAATTGTATTGCCTCTTTATGACAATTAGGGAGAGATGGAAGTCCACTGTGGGTTTGGAGGTCCACGCTCAGATTGCCACGGAATCAAAATTGTTTTCCAATGCATCTACCAATTTTGCCAGCCCGGTTAACTCGTGCGTTTCATTCTTTGATTGCGCCACACCGGGAACATTACCTGTGAGTTATTATTAATCGGTTATAATGAATCAGACACCTGAGCGTAAACTAACAGTAATATAAAATCAATATAATTTCCTATTCAACAATCTAACTGTTATATACATGTGTTATATTAATATTGTTAAATGGGAAATGATAATATTGATATCAGCAATATTATTGTTAATTTGTGTTTAGCAGAAATACTCTTTCTTGGGTAAATAAAAATAATTAACTTTGCAAATTATTACAATAAATATTAGTTATTGTCGTAGATATGTATATATTGTAGATATTGAATAGAAAATGTGTGGAATCAGCAGTGATGACTGCCTTGGCGCTATCTTGCCGATTGAATGAGATTTCTTTGTTTGAAAGGAAACATTACTTCTACGCAGACTTGCCTGTGAGTGATAAGGCTATCGCAAAATAGATACTTAACGTTATTGTCTTTATTAGTTGCAAATTATTTAGGCAGGGTTTCAAATCACTCAACAAGGACAACCTATTGCTGTTAATGGTGAAATTAAGTTTCATGTTTTCACTCCACTGCACAAATCTCCATACTTGAAATCTTCCAAAATTAAGCAGATTCAATTGGAGCAGGACAGTGGCAAAAGTTTGCATGATGAAAATGTAGGAAGGTATTGAGCTGATTGCTATTTAGTTCTGTTCGAAAATTAATAAAAATTGAGAGTATTTCAATTAAATTTTTTACTTGATATTTCTATATTTTAGAAGCCTGATCGATCTTAATCGAGCCGGAATACCTTTGATGGAATTCGTGTTTGAACCAGACTTGATCGATGGTGAGGAAGCGGCTGCGCTTGTAAAGGAGCTTGCACTTACGTTGCAGTTACTGGGTGTCTGTAGCAGCAAAATGGAAGGTTGTTTGCTGCAAAAATTATTTTCAAGTTATTGTATTTTTATACAACTTTGTGTGTGTGATATATATCGTTTTTTATTATCTTTATAAATTGTAGAAGGAGCACTTCGCGTAGATGCCAACGTTTCTGTAAGCAACCGAGATAGTTTAGGCATTCGAACAGAAATAAAAAATATCGGAAGCGTGCGTGCTGTCGCTGCGGCCATTCGATATGAAATAAATAGGCATATTTCTATCCTTGAGGTTGGTGATAAGATATTCAATGAGACTCGCGCTTGGGATGCGGTGAACAAGAAAACTGTTCCTATGCGTGAAAAAGAAGACAAAGAAGTAACGAAGCATTTCGATTTTACATTGCTACTCTTACATTACGAATTATTGAATTCATCTTAAATACTTTCAGGATTACCGATTTATGCCTGAAACAAATTTACCACCTTTACGTATACATCTTAGAGAAGATTTACCAAATAAAAGCAATTTAGTTGATGCTGTAGTACTGAAAAGACAACTACCCGAGTTGCCGGAGCAAATACGTCAGAGACTAAAGGACGTTCTTAAAATATCTCCTGAAATAATTATAGCTTTAATGGTAAATCTTGGTATGCTCTATAATGAAACAAACATTTTAAAAAATATTTTATATTTTTTTTAGAGTGACTTTGCATTATTACAATTATTTAACAGAATAATAAGAAATAATGAGAATCGTGAACCGCAACTGGTCGCTAAATTTCTTGTCATGGTGCTGTTGACTTTTCTTTATAAAAATAAACTAACGATTGAATTTTGGTAAGCCTCTTCTTTTTAAGTAAGATAATGTTTCGGAATAAAAAATGTGTATTTCATAAATTTTTAGTGTACCACATGAAGATTTTATTGGTCAATTGATTGATTTATTACAAGTCAATTTAATTAATTTAATAACGGCAAAAAAGATTTTGAAGGAATTAATAGTCGATCCAAATAAACTACCAAAGGAGGTAAAAATCTCATTTTTTCACAAAAAATATGTAGTATTTACAGCTTACATATTTTTTTAACTTACATTCATATAATAAACTATATTTATTGTACATAGATCGTTAAAGAGCACAATTGGTTCCTGATATCAGATAAGAAACAATTAGAATACATATGTTTAGAAATTATAGAAAAAAATCCAAAACTTGTATCAGCATATAAAAGTGGTAAGAAAAAATTGTTTAACGCATTAATGGGAGAAATAGCAAAGGTTACGGAACAACGTGCAGATATGGCTGTTGTTGCAAAAATTATGGAACGATTACTGAAATAGTAGTTTGATAAAATGGAGAGGGAGGGAATTACAATAAATCTATTAATGAGTTAGTATTGTGATGTATTGTAAATAAAAATAATTCGAGTTTTATTAATTAAAAGCAATTTTATATTGATTACTTACCTTTCATTGTATATGACTGCTGATTGATCACGTTATGTTATATTATATAAGGATTTTTATCAATATAAATATTTTAAAGAATATATTATTACAGATAAAGGAATTCCACCACAGAGTAACTTAAGTTTATAAAATAATAAAAATAGGTCCACACACACATATAAGTTTGTATTAAATATTTACACAAATATTATTTTCTAATAAACTTCATTACGAAATAACTACATTGAGTCATCATTTTTTTTACAATTGTTTACAATAATATCATTAAAAAACATGCCAACTGTCAATTACACATTCCATTATTCAATATTTATAAATTCGTCTTTATCCAGAACATATTGGACAATCATTATTGGTGTTGCTATAAGAAAATAATAGGTAACAGCATTTTATATTGGACAGGTAGTTAAAAATAATAACACAGATTTTCTACATCAACAGTTTGAACTGAAGTTACCACAGCTCTAACATACAGTAATTTTAGCACTTTAAGGAGATTAAAAATCCTGATGTGTCTAAAGTATATTTTACATATCTGTGATATTATATAAGAAAATGTATTATATTACAGAGTAATTAAAAACATTTACTCCCGTATATGCATCAAATTTCTGCTTATACTGCAAAAATGGCAATGATGGAAGGATTTACAAATTGCAGTCTTCAGAGAAAGGCCACTTGAGTAGCAAGGTCATGTTCTTTGACTCCTTTATCACCGTAATTTAATCAGGAGTAACAGATATATCGCTTATTGTTTCTACAATGCAAACAGTTTCGATATACTATGGATTTGTATGTAGTCAGAGTGTTTCACAAAAACTTACTTCGCGAGTAAAAATTTTTTTTTTCAAATTACTAAAATGCCACATCACCATTGTCTATTTGTCTGTATTTACAAAATGTCCTTATAAAGAATCAACATTGATAACGCGATTTGTTAAAAAAGAAAACTGTCCGTAAAGATTAACAGTTATTTTCTTTCTTTCCTAATAATCAAATAAAATAAACCTGACTTTTTTTTTACTATAAAGCATTAAATTGATTTTATATAGTGGATTATAAAATTTATCTTTCTGACATTATAAAAAGTAATTCCACAAAGTAAAATTCCTCTAAGTCTTTTACAATCAAGTATTCACAGTCTAAGAATAGGAGTAACATTTCTTTTCGCCTTTGGCACAGCCATGCGATTAATTGATCTCATAATTGGAATAAGTTAAATAACTATAAAGATAAATTCATCGATAGCATGACGCAAGATTTGTAAGAATACTAGCGATAATGATGATGCTGCTATAATTAAAGCAATTCATTCAACATAGTTGTAATACAACTTAAAATTTCATTACGATGTGTAGTTGAGACTACAAGATTTATTTGGATAATTTGCTGATTACTCTGATCAAGGCACCATTTTCATCTTTTAGCCTCTGATTTTCGCATTTTAGTTGGTCCATCACCTAGAAAAAAAAAATTTCACACTAATTCTTATGCGTTAATTAAGAACACAGCAGAGGAGAATATAAAGAAATAATGCCGTTATAGACGAAATAATTTCAGTGCTCACAAAACAACAGGAGGATAAATGGAAAGAGGCACTCACAAATATTACTGCAACCAAAAGTCATTAAAGTATTCGGGTAATGTATGTACTAGTAGAAATTAATAAATGTTCAGATACTGATACAGATAAGAGAACTGAAAAATGATCGCGAATAGCAAAAGCGTTTCATCAATTTATGATCATTGTATTATATATAATACCAGAATCATAAACTTTATTTCTTTCAAGTTAATCATTGCATTTGTACACAAGTATTCCTTCATAATTATTTACATTTAATTAATACTGCATTGATATTGATAAATAGCTCAAACAAAATGTTTAGATACAAATCCGACTCTTGAATAACATTTTCATACATACAAATATTCTACAAAAAAGTTCGCAAATTTATCCTCGAATTCATACACAATCTAAGAACGAGACTTAATTAACGAATAATTAAGACAATTTAGATAACGTACAATTCTTATCTTATTGATACAACATTTGACTTCAAATTATGGGGGCATTTCATATGCAAGAAATAATTTTATGTTACAATTGCAACTATCATTTGTTATATTTGTTGAGCACTTTTTGAATACTACAAAATAATATCGTTGATACGAAAGCTTTCTAATGCATACCGTGGAATAATGATGAGTACGCAATATTATACGTAAAGTTAAAGAGGGATTAATGTCAATTTTGTGGATTGGCTATTTTTTAAAGTCTATAAAGTGCAATAAAGTGCAACAATTTAACATTTAACATGCTTCCTTAGAGAGAAAGAGAGAGAGACAGAGGTGAAAATCTAAGTTAATACAGTGTAATATGTGTTGAGATTTTAACAGTCGAATATGTTTTGGGAATTGAATAACTTTCACACAGTTATGATTAAGATAAATAAACTGAAAAGAATAATTAACTGCAGAGTCATAGCTTTGTCTTTATGTGAAACACGTGCTAAAATGATCGATGCTTGATGATGGCATTCAGTTTACTGATGTTATTCTGCATGTTGGATGATGGTTTTACAAGGAGGAAAGTTTCCTAAAGTTAAAATTGTGGTAGCTATATTCATTCCTATATGCATCTTATAAATGACAGACTGCGTTCTTTCTTATCTCTTGTTAAAAATTTGTTTTTCTTTTTTTAGTAAATGTATTATTAAATAGTTCATTTATAACATGCATCACACAATTAGCCGGGATAATTTATCATAATTGTCACGTTTGGAATTTGGAACATCTTGAAAAATTTTATACATATATAAAATATGTTATATACATAATTATATAAGATAACTGTCTTGATAATACATTGCAGAAATAAAAGTGTTATTAGTATCACACAAGAAGATACATGAATGTACAATATTGATTGCAATACTTAGAATAAGACATATGTATTATAGAAAGCCTGAATCTCTCTTTTACAAAAGTAAATTGATACCTTTAATTAAAAATTGATTAACGGTACGCGTTATATATTGGAATGCATTTTGCAAAGCTGATTTGTACGATAAGTATGATGAGTGATATCATTTCTGTTTTAATATTGGCGATCAGAACACAAAATTATAATTAATCATTCGATTAAAAGAGTAATTAATTAATTAATGTTGTACGTGAGATACGATGTCTATCGTAAACGCAGATGCTGTCATTGTGTCCTTTACCTATTTAGTATTGGTGAGTTTGGATACGACGCGGGTAAGTGCCCGATTTTCGGCTTTCAATCTCTCATTTTCAGCTTTGAGCTTTTGCAATTGCTGTAAACAGTTAAACAATTAGCCTAAAACCCCGCCACTGTTTTTGCGAGTCCCAAAATAGCCAAAAACAAATAACTAATTCGCGTTCCATTAACAGACGAGTAAAACCGCGCGCAATTCCCCGCTAAAAACTACGCTGGAAGTTCTGAGAAGCGGAACTCAGTGAAAATACAAAATGGATTACTGAAAATTACTGTATCCCGCGAAAAAAAAAAAAAGAGAAAATGAGTACCAATTGGAAATAGAGAATAAGAAAGAGAGTAAAGCGTCAATTTGCGTAAAATTGCCAGGTAAGGAAAAGCATATAACCGAAGCGATCGGGTCTTCGTACAAAAATAATCATTGCTGTTTTTGCTTGCCGCTAGCAGTCACAGCAACACAAGAAAAAAAAGAGATGACGGTGTGTAACTAACTAAAAAATCTAAAATTGTAAATATACTGATACGTATATTCGTACACAAAATCACAGATAATTGTGTCGAGTCTTCTCATCATTCAATTCAATGTATGAAAGCATTTCTTCCATTCGCTTTCACATACATAACAGATTCATAATGTAGGAAGTGTATCAAATCTCTGCGAACTTACCTTTAATTCTTCTTCCATCTCTGAAAGTTTCCTTTCCATGGCTCGCCTTTCCCTTTTCTCTGCCTCAGAGAGAATTACTTTATTTTGGTTGATTTGCATTTTTTCCAATAAATGCCTGACTTCCTTTAATTGTTCGTCGGAGCGCTTCAGTTTATCCTTTAACCTTTCATTCTCGAACTGAGATTCCTCGTATAATTTCTTATAATCTAATTCACCGTTTTCGGAACTATTGGATTTTAATCTGATTGGTGTTGATGAGGCTTCTGATGATAGCGAAGATATCGAACCTAATCTAGTGGCTCTCCCAGAACGATCGTTTCCGCTCTAAAAGAGAAAAAATATTAAACATAAATTTTTATTACAATGTATCATTTAAAATTTTTATCAATCTAAAAAAATTATTAATTAAATCCATATTTATATAATTATTTATTTACGTATACAAAATATGTTTAAATAAAAAGAAAAAATAATAGTTTAGTAAAAACCATTATTTGAAAATATTCCAAAATCCTGGAAATTTTCTAAGAGATTTAAGATACGAAAATCAAGGAAATTGCTTACAGCATATCCCTCAGAACTAGTTAAACTTTGTAAACTGGAACTTCTCGAACCGATATTAAGACTCGGTTTTATCTTCGATCTCTTAAAACTCTCGGTTTTTTGGAAATGTGGCCGAGTGTTTACGTTTAGATTTAAATAATTATAACTGGGAGATGGACTCAGATTCAAAGGACTGACAGCTGTGTGAGAAGGTAAAGTCACACCACCATATCCCGTTGACGTTCCACCATATGTCGTGAAAAGATTCTGATAATTCGGATTGTTCGTAGATTTCGTGAAAGGAGTTGTTCGAAATAAGTCGCTACTCTTTTTATTCTTATTCAAAAAATTAGATCCGGAATATAGATTTGGAGATTTTACGCCCAATAATCCCGCGTTAAACGTTAAATTATTTGGATTTAACGAGAGCAAACCACCGATCCGTGACCTGTTTCCAAAAATTGATTGCCCATTTGTTGACGCTTGAGCTCGTAAGCCTGCAGCTGTTGTTGGCTTAGTCTGTGCTCCCTTTCTGTACGAAGACATGGTTTGCGTCACGTGCGAGGTGTTATTACGAGACACTACAGCATCGGCAGCTCTTTCCGCGAAATTCGTAACACGTTACTCACATAAATGGTTTGCGAGAGGTTTTATTACGGCCTGCGATATTTTAAACGCAAACTTTTTTCGATTTTTAGAGCGGAGCGTGTATACGCCGCGGATAAGAAACGATAGACTGACTGAGACTGGGCAGGGAGAACCCAAGACATCAGGCAGTTCGCTTTAAAGCATTACTACTATGCGTTATTTTTGGAATGCACGCGGAGACGCACACAAATATCAAGGTTGTGTGTTTCGGAGAATAAATGCAGCTTGTACCGTAGTTTAAATGGTTTTTTTTTTCAACACAATGGCTTAAATATAGACGCATTTATAAATAAATAATATATAGATACTACGATATATCTAGTTTTATAATCGGAATAAGTTCAAAGAGAACGAATATAAATTTCGTAATATTAGATAATAGCCGTCACACATATACATATATATATGAGATTTATATAGAACGCATTAGCGATCTGTCTGTCATCGATATATAAAAAACTGAAATGTTTTGATGTTCATGAACGCTAAATATATATATAAGCGGAATGATTCTAAATGTCAGATTCCAAACGCGTTGGGTAGAATACTTTTAGACACAGTCAGGCCATGTCCATGATCATTTCTTTTTGTTTCAATTATCGATTAAGGTCCCAAATATATAATTAAAACTCTTTGTCAAGACTAATTTCGATAACCTTATATTTAGAATAGTAGAAACATTACATTAAGATTAAGCAAAATTATACGTTGACGTTTATCACGATTATTCTTCTGTTTATTTTTATATCAAATGTTGTATTTCTCGAATATAAGTGACAAAATAATGAATGCTAGACTATTTTTATCGAGAACAGAGGCTATTCTTTCAAGAAGCTAAAAATAACTTGAAGCTCTGGTAGCCTATGAAAACCGTTTACATTCAGTGAATGAAAAAGTTAAGCTGGAATATTATGGAGCCTCCAGAATGAAGCAAAAAATAATTGTATGATATGAAGAAAATGCTTTTTTTCGTGGTACTTGCGTCTCTTTACGCATAAAGTAATAGTTTAACAGTCGGAACTTTGCGAAACAATAAGCTGTCAGCATCGAGATAATGTTTTATATTCAAAGCTCTTCCCAATTTGCGAGTGTTGTGTTTCCCTCTGCGTCATTTAACTGCGCGTTATCCAATTTTGGATTTTTGGCACGTGCCTGGTAAATCCGGCAAGAAGCTCGTAAGTCGAAATTCGAACGGACGCTTTGACGCGTTAGAAAGATTTTGTAAAACGAAAACCAATAAACCGAAAATAAGGGAATAATATATTTTGGATCGGTGGAATTCATATTAGCATCTATTGCAGAAATTAATTCATCACTCATGCATATGTATAGTCTAATCTTTGCATTATTATGTTAAATCAAACTTGAATTTAAAGCGCTACTTTATGTTTTTAACCCCGAATCTACAATAGAGTTTTAAGCCTTAAGCCATAAGAAATGAGCAAATCACAGTCGCTTATTCTTCTCGGATTCGACTGTAATTGGTCAATTTCTTACGGCTTAAGGCTTAAAATACCTATTGTAGATCCGGGGTAATAGTAGACTAGAGTTTATGCTTGGAGAATTGACACAGCATTATGTAATAATTATATTTTATATTGAAAAAAAATTACTCACTTCGTTGTGGTTGATTTTGGAATCATCGCAATCACCACCAGCAGTTAGATCTTGTTTTTCTGGGTCAATTTCCTATAAAAAAGAAAATATAATCTTTTTAGAAATGTTTAAATATATATTTAATTTTTATCAAATCATTTTTATTATAGTTAACTTTACTTAATTTTTTTCTAATTAAAATTTTTTAATCTATTGAAAATCCTTTCTTACTTTCATGTAGTAATATTAATTAAAATACTTCTAAAAAAATGTAACCCTACTATATAATTCTTACTAACATCCATATCTACATGGACTACGCCTGTCGATCTTCTTTTAGGCCGACGTCTCCTTTGAATAACTGCTTGTGTAGCTTGTGCGTTTCTACTATCATTTTCCTTATCTTGTTCTATAACACAAAAAAATGTCATCTGTTTAAATAAATAATCAATGCTTCTCTCACGAATTAATACAGTACTTCTACTAATTATACATCAAATTCCTGATTAAATTCGTTACGTTGTTAATTATTCTGTAGTCTTACCTTTGTCATCAGGTTGCTTTAACGATCTCCTAAGGGGTAAAGTAACTGTGGTTTCTGTACTACTGGTAGCAATAGTCTCCACAGGCGCTGATGATGGTCTGGGTACACCAGTTCCACCAGACGGTCTTCTCATATAGGCCGTCGTATTATCAGTAGGTTTATTATTAGCATCCTCTAACTGAAACTATATAACAAAATATATTATTATAAATCTTGATTTTTACAATAACATTCGTGATATACTTTTCATTAGCAATTAAACTTCCGTAAATTGCATCTTCAAACGCATTGCGGCGTAGCATCAATCATACATACAACCGTGAACATTTGTGAATTAGTCATAAATAAATGATTTTTTTATAAGCGCACACACCTTGCTTCCATTGTCTACCCTTAATCTCCAAGACGGTCGTCTCTCAGGTAAATTAGATTCTTCAGAAACTTTATTCACAGGAGTCACAGTAGTGGAGGTTGCGGTTGTTATCGTAGCTGTGATCGAAGCTGTATTGCTGACGGTGGTGGTGGTAGTAGTAGTAGTAGTAGTAGTGGTAGTAGTAGGAGGCTGGATTATTTAAAAAAAAAACATGAATAAAAATATTAATCTCAATTTTAAATGTCATGCTGCGTTATTTTTGTGTAAGAATATAATAAAAAATAAAATATTATATACTCTCGATATTAAGCAACACAAATACTTCATTGTGAAATCTAGTTCAATTAGATCTTCATGAAATTTATTACGTTCAATCGTTAATGCTGCACTACATTCACTACTATTGCTCTCACGCTAGATAAGTTTGCCTTGATATTTTGATACACCATTTAAAAAGAATTCATTCGGACATATCAGATCAGATAAGTTAGTCACTTTTCTCCAATCACACGATAAGACAGCGATAATAATACTGATATGATCTTTACTTGCGTGGATGATGTTGATGTCGGCAATTCGTTGTTCTGTTGCTTTTTCTTCACTAATTGTTCGGCGCTCTTAATTTCGTCCAATGTCACACCTTGAGTAGATCTTCTCGTTTCTCTTACTCTCTTTGCATGGGCTTTCCTTTGAGTTTCACTTTCTTCATCGCGTACAGGTGGAACGAAGGATCTGTACATATTCATACAATAACACATGAAGTATCAATTTACAAGTTCCAAAACAAAAGATATGTAATATTGTCAGATTGTTTTATCTGTGCAATAAAAACAAACTTTTAGTAAGCATGTTCAACACAATTTGTAAGCAATCTCAAAAAAATTCAAAATATAACACAAAATAACACAAATATACATATTCCTGTAAAAGAAAATAATTAAAATATCTCTTCTTTCAGGTACACTTTTGATGTTATATATTACATAATTTCAATTTCTTCCTTGTAGTAGTGTATTAATTTTAGAATTGATTAGAAAACTTGAAAAAAGAATAGAGCCGTAATGCTTAACATTGAAGAATTGTTCTGGTCGATATATTATTTTCACAGAATATCAAATTTTGTTACAATGAATTATATTGAAAATATCATAAAGTATATTTAACAAAACAAATCAAATAAAACGTATTTGTGTGTGGCAGTGTGTTTATTTGCCAACTACTAACAGGTAGTATTTAGGCAATGAATAATCACACTACAAAAAGCAAACTTCCATGCTACTGCCAACAAATTAACGTAATTAATACGTAAATATTTGATATATGCAAAAGTCATAATATTTCAGGAGGATCTTCCGAGCAGTGAGTACCCACTTGAAGAAATTCTTGAAGAGATTTCCTGGACTTAGCTTGCTCCCTCCTGGTGTAGTAGGAGTTCCAGGAGCAGTTGCTACTGCATTATTTGTATTCGATACAACTGTAGATGCAGCTTCCACTGGTTGAACACTACCCAGCCACATTAATTATAACGCACAATACAGAATGTAAATATATGTTTGTCGATTGTGTGTATATGTGATAATGTATTTTAATGACGCAAATAAGTGCCTCTATCCTTAAAAAACTCGCTTTAGAAAAACTCAAACATTTACACAGTATTAATTATATAACAAAAGTAAAGATATAAGCATTAACATTTTTAGTTTTACGTAAAATAGTTAAAGTGTTTAGAACATTTACTTCATGTAGAAAAATGTGAAGTTAAATAACATATATATGCACAAAAATATTACGTGTAAGGATTCGATTTTAATTAAACTTGGAGATATTGTAGAAAGATAATTAAAAATTTTGCGGCCAGTATCTTTTACATTTCGTAAGACAGTGAAATACTGCAGTCCATTTATAATTTGATGTAAAATAGATTGAAAAATGTCATTTCTAACATTTAGACAATATTTAATAATATAAGTGTAGATCCTTAGTATAAAAATTTCTTTACCTGCGAATTTGATTGACTGGAATAGGACTTGTTGTTGTAGTGGCAGTGGTAGTTGTTGTGATGGATGACAATAGACTCGATGCCAATGTTTTAGATGCAGATGTTGGTGAAAGTGTATTGCTTCCTTGTGGCAGTCTTGATAATTCCAAATTTAATTTCACGTCTTTCTTTCTAGAGTAAGAATAAAGTAAATAATTTAAAAAAAAAGGAATAATTTGTAAAGTAATAAACTATCAAAAATATGCATTTTAATGAGGTTACCATATTTAGAAGTATTAGATACCATGATATCTTCCATTTATTAACATTTCCATAGATAAAATAAAATAACTCTTGTATCTTAGAATAGAATTTTTCGAATATGTTTTAATTATATATACTTTAAAGTTTATTTTTAAAAAAAAGTACAAGTAAGAATATAAATTTCTATATTTTCTGAGTTTTTTATTTAGTCTCAGTCATGTGATACGTCAAAACAGAAAATATAATATTAAAGAAAAGAATTACTTTAAAATATGCATATGTAAATTTTCATAAACTAATTTTGAATTTATTAAAAATTAATATCTTTTGATCTGATTAGCACTATCATGTGATTTAATTTAAAGCTTTTTAAAGTTTCAAGCTAGGCTAATAAATAGCAAGCGACATTAAAAGCTCATTAGTATAGAATGTATAAAAAAAAAACATTAAAATCACATCTGCTACATTCTCACACACTTTCAAATAATGCAAATAATATATACTTTCGCAGCAGTCTACATATTATACAGTATAATCATGGTAAACAAGTTGGGTAGAATTATTGAATTAACATAATTACAATTGGTATTGTACAAGTAAAAGCTGTAACATTAGAGGCATGCGGCATATACCTGTGTGTTTCGCGTAGAGATGCAGAGCGAGTCGTAGCATTGGTGTGAGTAGGAGTAGCTGCATTGCAGCGATGGAGGGTAGGGCACGAGAACGCCTTGATGCGGGCACGTAATGCCAAATACTGCTCATAAAACCTGCATCACATGCATTACCGTGCCATGCATATCTCTACACTAATTATCATAATAGTATAGGGACATACGTTACAAATATGAAACGCTAAGACTCATAATTAATGCGGACACATAGAGTATGCATATTATACAATATCTTAGTTGGAACGTAGCACCGCTGTTAATAGCATTAAATATCTGCCTAAATCATTAAAAAATAAAGACACGATATTGCTACAAATATAAAGCTGCGAACTTGTAATATATAAAAAAAGAATAATATATAATGCATGAAGCAGAGACTTAACTAAACTTACTTCTCATCTGTCTCGAAACTATGCGTTCTTCTTAATACCACATCGGGTTCTCCACTAACTTTGTTTGGTGTTGTTGGTATTTTAATATTGTTATCCTTATCTTCAAGTTCTGTGAAATAATTATGTAAGTTTATTAATAATTTAACAGGAAAATTCGTGAAATATAATCGGCGCATCATTCAATGAACATACTTGTAGATGCAGAATTAGTAGTTTCAGTACTTTGCATTCTATTTCGGAAGGAACCTGAACGTCTCCAAGATGGTACAACACCGTCCTCATTATTATCAGTCTGTTGTTTTGGAGGCAATATTGGAGCCTTAAGAAAGAAAAATCGGATAAATAAGCAATAAAGCTAGTTATATAAAATTTTTCAAGAATATGAAATATATATATATATATATACATATATATACATATATAAAAAGATGATTCATGATTCAAAAACAGATGTCTTACCTGATTAGGAACTTTATTAGTTTCAACTGGAGATATTGGACTATGGGATGCACTTTCATCTTTGTTTACTCTATTTTTCTTTTCTGTAAAATAATTGAACGAACACTTTACTGCAACTATTAATTTTATAAAAGAAGTATTTAAAGTCCACACTCTTTAAAGCAATAACCAATCCAGTAAGTTTTATTTAAGAGAGATATTTTGTCACAAAATTTTTATATAGTATACATGCAATAATAAGCAATAATTTGTATCAACCAAAAAAAAAAGAGAGAGAGAAAAACAGTCTTACAGATCAAACTTACCGTCATCTGTAAGACATGTCGCGTGGTTAGACTTATCAGATTGATTGGAGAAAGTGGAAGAGTGTGATTCTGAGCTAGTCTCAGATTCACCTTCACCATCACTCTCTTCCATGTGTGTTTCACGTGTTGCTTCTGTCCATGCAGCAATGTTATAAGAAATACACATTACAGTTAACGGTAACATAAATTAGATTCGCAAAAGTGGACAATAGGATACAGATTTGTGAGAAAATAGTTTGCAAAACATAATTATACTCTTTCCTTTTTCTTCACATAAAAGATAAACATGGAAGTTGCAGAGTAGATAGTTATTTCATATCAATGTATCATCTCTTAAAAATCATCTCTTAAAAAAAAAAAAAGAAAAAAGAAAAAATTAAGTCCGAAAATTATATACATATTAGAAAAAAAAATATATAAACGTGCGGATTAGATCGTATATTGAAAGGAATAATACAAGCAGAATCTTACCAACGTCGCTGTTTGTACTAGTGCTGGAATCTTCTTTATCAGATTGAATCTCTAATTCAACCTTCTTAACTTTATTTGGCGTTTCTTCTTCAAAGATTTCTATAGATTCTTGTGCCGCTACCGCATTATCAGCACTCGTTGAGAAACTGTAACATTTAGAAGTATATTAAGAGAAAAAATAACAATTACAATCTGTTATTTAGAATTATCACGTTGCTTACCGTTTCTTTGGTATAGACGATTGCTTCTTGTTATTTGTTTGTGAATTTTCTTTGATAAGTGCTTGTTGCTCTCTTAAATTTTCAAGAGCTTTGAGGATGTCTGCATCAGCAATATCAAAAGCAGTTTGATCCTGAAAGCAAGATACTGATGAGAAAAGAAGCAAGAATAACATTAATTAATTACATTTGTCAATCAAATCCAGCCTGGGTTCAGATTAAATTAATCTAAAGCCTGGAGCTAATTTAATCCATACACAGTCTAATTATAATTATTAGAAACATTAATTTTCTTACGGCGTAATTTTTCATATCCATATCACAGCCGTTCTCAACAAGAAGTTTGCAAGCTTCCAGTTGACCCCAATGCGCTGCACCGTGCAAAGGCGTCCATCCATCAAAGTCCTGTGCATCAACATTGCATCGGGCTTGTAGTAATATGCTGCACAGAAATATTAAATAATTCAATAAAAAGAATCAACTCTCTAAAACTGCACTTAACATATTAAAAAAATTGTTCAATTTTTAAAATAATTTTTATTTTATTGCACTACGCGTCATATAATACAAAAGATGTAATTTTCGAGATGTATTTTTCGATACAAGAGATGTAATTTTCTATAATATTCATTTACTTATATCTAACATCAAATAATCTCTTATTTTTAATTAAGATATAATGTCTTACTGCATGACTTTGATGTAGCCTTTGGCAGCGGCGACATGAAGTGCCGTGGCTCCTGATCTCGGATGCATGGAATCTTTGCCTGGTGCACCTGACCGCCAAGATTTTGCATCATTTAACATTGACCGTTCCTCTTCGCTCCTAGCTTGATCACAATCGATGCCTGCACATATAATTAAATTTTTTAATAAAAAATTGAATTAAATTAATTTCGTATATTTGTGTGTGTGTGTGTGTGTGCGCGCGCGCGCGCGCGCGAGATAATTTATAATTTGCTCAATTTAGCTTAATTTATTTTAATAATCTGTATTTCACAAATATATTTAACTTTTATTTTATCAGCAAATTCAATTATACTTCATAAGAAACGTTTCATATAATAAATATTTCTATACGAGTAGTTACACACATGTAAGGTGTGAATGATGCATGCTTAATATATATTGCTTAAGAGAGTATTTCAGTACATTGTACGTAAAATTATATCAACATCACGAAAAGGGGTCAATGAAAGAGGATATCTTTGCCAACGTACGATTTGTGTCTGAGCGTGCAAACTTCTAGCCGGATGTTGAATTTTAGGTGCTTAATGTTTTTTTACATGTGAAACGTTTATACTTTATACAGATTTATGTATAACATCTAATAGCTTAATAAAGCTAATATTTGGATAAAGAAATGATGAAAAACGGTGGCTAATTGCCACTTACGTAGTTAAATTGTTTGTAAAATTATTGCAGCAGAGATATTTCAGTATTACGATTTCCAGCTCTGATTTTCCTCGGAAGTCTATAATTAAAAGTTTTACGCAATAGAGAGGCCTCAGACATCCTGCAGGTATACATATAAATACAAACCTGCTTTATTTATATGCTGTTGGAGCATGTCTTCCATCTCGTCGCTTTCTGCAATATCCAGCGCCAGTTCACCGTCATTGTTTACTGCTGCCAGATTACATCCTTGTTCTATTAAGTATCTATAAAATACATAATTGTCCATTTATTGCAATACACATAGTTAGCATATTTATTGATAAATTATGTATATAAAATCTAAAAAAAAAAATAGTTTAAAGTGATATAGAAACTGTACTAACTTAGCAATAGATATGAATCCACAAGATGCTGTGGCATGTAAAGGCGTCCAGCCTTCATTATCTCCACGATTGATATCCGCTCCTTGTTCCACCAAAAACTCCACCATATCCAGGTCATCATCAATGCAAGCCTGTTGTAATAATATAATGTGAACATAATATATCATACGCTGTCCGCTGATTACATCAATGTGCCTGAGTACACAAGTTGGACAAGAGTTGAATAAGCGTGCGCGATTGGCAAGATGTATTTCGAGGTCTCGACATCGAGACCACCAATTTTGCTCGGTCTAGTCAAGTCTGGTCGCAATCCAAGGCTCAAATCGACGTTATGTTATAAATGCGCTGCTTCGATTACGTCATTACTTTTTGAGAAACCCCTTAAATGGAAACAATATCTCTATATGACATTATATATAGAATGTTTTATTATAAGATATGTAGTAAATTTATATCACGTAAGACTTTGAAGGAATTAATTTCCAACATATTTCCAAATAGCATCATAAAATAAAACATAGAGAAAAACATATTTATCGTTTAATCAGAATCTTTGTAGATATTTAACGCCCAGTAATCTTTTCATAATAGATTAAACAAACGGTAAAAGTACGAATTATCGTTTATTTACGTCGTTCAACGTGTGCAAATTTTCATAACTTTGATATTATCAAAATGAAAAAAAAGTTAGGTAGTACATGTTACAACATTGCTAGACAGAGAATTTAAACTGAACACAGATGCTGCAGCCTGTGACTTCTAACAGAGAGCTATAAATAGCATTTGATGCCTGATGTATTTTCACATTCTATTTTCGCAAATCCATGAAATGCCTTAACTTCCTTCCTTCTCGCTTAAATAACAGCCATAAATATCGCTTCACGTTATGGAAAATGTTATTCTATTTAATAAGACTTGTATAAGACTCTCTACCGCTATTACTATACAGCAAATATCTCCTTACATTTATATGATAATATCGCGCTACATTTTTACAGTTTTCTCAAGCTTCGAAATCGTTAATGGTTGTTAATTAATTTAACTGGCAAATGTGCATTAAGAAATATAATTTTAAAAATATATAAAACAGATACACTGTTATTATTATTTTTTATAATTGTAATTTTACATTTTTTTAAATATCGCGCATTATAATTTTTTATGATCCGCAAGATTTGCTTATTTAAATAATTATTTTTTTTAGCAGAATATAATTATTTCCATTTTTCTCCGCATCAGGGACTCTTACACACCAACCGACCTCTTCGTCTCATTAATTATATCCTCATTAGTTACTTAGTACTGTAATAACCGTTATGGTATATATGTATGTACGGTGTCCCGGATTACCCAGTTGCGTCCGCTTTCGGAAACACCCAGAAATAGATTGCTCGTAAAAGCTTACCACTCGCGAAAAAAAGTTGTTGCCAGTGTGACAAGAAAATTGCTCTATAATTTCTAAGCATGCTCAAAATGATGTTATAACTACAAATTCTTTAAATATCAGCATGTTGAATTAATTATTTTTTTCACGATAAAGTTTTAATTTCAATCTCCTAATGTTTTTAACAACTAGAACTTACAATTAACTAAAAGATAATATGGCAATTAAAGAGCTATTACAAAATATAAATTGACATTACAAGTTTTTTAAATTATTAAATAAATATAAAACAATCATGCAACCAATTATTCAATACATAATAAATTAAATTAGACTGTTTTATACACACAATTACATACATCCATTTTTTAAAATAATATCGAAATATGTTGGTCTCAGCTATTATTTCATAATCCAACATTTTCATAATCCAGCATGCTTTGTAAAGGAAGATATAAACTATGTTATAAAATAAACAATATATTTTAACAAACAAACGTAAATAATATTTTAATAAAAGGATGAGATAAGAACACTAAAACATTGTTCATTAATAATAGCAATTAACTTTTCAAATTAAAGATTTATGAACTGCAGCTGTCTTGTCAGACAATGTAAAACGGAAAAAAAAATTTCTGAGAATAGCATACTACTTTTAATGTAATTAAATAAATTTTTAGAGAATAAACAGATTTTAAAAAAAAAGTTTAATCTATTCTTAGAGTACATTTTGTATACAAAATTCTGATTTCTTTTTTACTTCTGTAAATATTTTTGATGATGCTTGGATCTTTTAAAATCTAACAAAACTTGATATATATAACATTTGTGTACTTCATACATTTCCTCTATCAGGCTCATTTCTACCAATAATCGATTTTAATCTCGGTTTAATTTACTCTTTATCTTTTTCTAATTCTTAAAGATAGGAGAAGATAAAAGTAAGTTAAACAGAGATTAAAGAGTAATCTACAATACATTGATAGAACTGAACAGAAGAAAAATGAGTAACGATCGGAATTCTGACGAGTGCCAATAAAATAATTGACGATCAAATAGCATGTTACAATGTTGCACTTCAAAATAAAGTGCAAACACAATTATTAAATACATATTTAAAAAAAAGATCTAGTACAAGAAAAAAAATCATATTTCCAGGTTTATTCCGATTGCGTGAATATATATTCAAGTCACGGCAGCTAAACGCGGCACGTCAAAACATCTTGCAATAAAATTAGCATTTCGGTTACACAAGCGAGATATTACCTAAAGTAATCTCCTCACTAATACATATAACATAGTAATTAACGGTTGAAAGCAGACGTTGCGTTTGCGATCAGCGTGACGGTCTCTTGACGGGATTCCAGGAGGGAAAAAGAGATAGAGAAAAAGAGGGGAGAGAGAGAGAGAGAGAGAGAGAGAGAGAGAGAGACCTGTTTCCTTTGACACCGGCGTTGAATCGAATGACAACAATTGCAAACACACCCCCGCGGATAATTTTTTAATGTTGCGAATTATACTTGTTTCTATGTAGATTAACTTTAATTACCCATCTCTATAAATATAAATTAACTTTAATTTCGGTTTAATTCACTCTTCGTCCTTTTCACATTCTTGAGACTAAAAAGGAGTAAATTAAACCAAGATTAGAGTTGATCTACATTGTTTGAAATAGACTTTAATTTCGGTTTAATTTATTGTTCATCCTTGCCTAATTCTTGGACCCAGTTCCACCAATATAAGATTAACTTTAATCTCAGTTCAATTTACTCTTATCTTTTTCTCATCATAAGAATTAAAAAAACATAAACAGTAAATTAAACAGAGATTACAGTTAATCTTACATTGATGGAACGGGATCTTAGAACTATAATAGATAAAGATAAGTAAAAATCAAGATCAACCCTCAACTACAGCTATGAAAACTATATCTAAATTCTAAAGTTATAATCTTGTTTAAAGTACAGAATAGAAGTAAATCTCCGTTATACAGCAATTGATAAAGAAAGGTTCAAAGTTTTGTTTACCCACAATTTAGAACTTTATAATATCAATCGTATAGATTATACAATCATCTAAAAATATTCACTTGAGGTCCAAATAGCCCATTGTTGTAGTCATGAGTTGAAGTTAATCTACATTGATAGAAACGGGCGTTAGACAGCTGGAGTTCGTAGAAGCCATCTTGCAGAATTACGTTTACGCGGGAGGGAGGGGAAGGAGGAAAAAGGAAAGAAGACGTTGGGAGGAAGGCAGAAGTGGCAGAACGCTTTCCGGAGAAGAGGAAGAGGAGGAGGAGGAGGGGAAGACTTGAAAGAGCTGTCAAAATCTCAGCGAGATGCCGGAGGGATGCCAACGAGACGCGCGTCCAGGGAGAAGCGCCCGCGTCCTGGATGACTCGCCACCCTTAAGTACCTGGTGCAGCGCGGTGAGACCGTCGACGTTTCCAGTGTTGATGTCCGCTCCCCTCTGCAGCAGACGCACGACCTCCTCCTTGTCGCTGGCCGCGCACGCCGCCAGGAAGACGATATCGGCGGAGAATTTGATCTTGCGCGCGACTTGGCGGGGTTGCGTGGGCTCGCGATTCGTCTCGGACTGCTCCCAACGCTTGAGCTGTTCGGCTCGCTTGAACAGGGCCGAGCTCGAACGTGTCTCGAGAGACATTGCCCCGACGACGGCGGCGG